AAGACGTGTTTTAGTACAAATATTAAATATTCCTGTAAAGACAGAAAAAGATACAGTAAAAAAAAATATTGCAACATTTCTGTTTTGGTATGAGACCTTATCATCGTTGGACTTTTGATCAGAGAAAAAGGTTTATTTTTCTCTGCATCCTGAAATGTACTTTGTTCCTCCTTCAACTTACAATGTGGTCAAACTGCCAAAACTAATCCACTGCACTCGCAACATCCCCAACACCCAAATACACTTTGACCCATTCATAAACACCTACTGGATCCCATCCCAGATTTCCTCACTTCCACATTTTAAATCCCAAACAGGAAACAAAGCCAATCTGATTACTTGGCCAGAGCTACGGTGGATGTCGTCTCCAGCCAGCTGATCGTAGGTTGTGACCTACCTGCTGCACGTGTGCCATGTGGTTGTGGTTGTAGCCGTGCTGCACCTGCTGCGGGTGGATATAGACGGTCTGCTGGGCAGAGGGGAACGATGCCTGGGGAGACTGAGGGTTGGGCCCTGGGGTCATGGAGGGGGGCGTGGGGGCCAAGGCTGAGTACATCTGCTGCTGTGGAGGCTGGTTGGCCATGTGGAGGGCCTGGGCTGCTGCTGCAGCTACAACACGCAAAAAAAAACAAATACACAATCACTCAGAGAGTTTCATTGAAAACATCCAGCTCCAACAGTGATGATGTGCAGAGGGATTGAAATGACTTGAGGAGGAAAATCTAAGTTTCCAATCGTAACGGACTCACCTGCAGCTGCCTGCGGGTGTTGTGGGTGCTGGACTGGGCTGGCTGCTGGATGGTTGGGAGGACCCCCATGCTGTGGGGGACCACCCTGCTGGCCTTGGCCTGTAGGCGTGGCAGAGGGCTGCGGGTGCTGTGGGTGAGGGTGCAAAGTGGCACTGGGGTGGGTGTACTGCTGCATCGGCCCTTGAGACACTGTGGGACAAAAATCAACGTTAGTAAGAAAATATGTTAAGACGGTACACGCAACAACGCCTGCACTTTACATACTCATGAAGATACACAAGTGGTGGGCTGACGTACCATACATGGTGTGTGTCTGCTCTGGGTACTGTGTAGTTGAAGAAGAGACGAGGCTGGGTTGGCCATGTGTGGGTGGCCCCATCATCCTGGCAGTCCCCTGCATTACTGGACTAAACACATGCTGCGCCTGGAGGACACACAAGGACAGAGAGGAGAGGGACGATGTCGGCATGTAACTCTTTTTGTTATCAACAATAATGTGAAGCATCAAGCATCAAATGTCAAAAACAGACAAGTATTAAAATCTGCCAACTACCAGGTCTGATCAAAAATGTAACAGTTTTATAAAGCTCATTTTTCAGGCAATGTTCACATTCAACAGTACTTAAGACATCTGGATAAGTTCAATCTTTTAAAATGAACATTGAGTGCAAGAAGAGTTCCTTCATTCTTTTAGAGTTTTCTCCAGTTGTATGCATGTTTTTGAACACCATCTTCCAAGTACATAGAGGTACAGCTAATGTTAAAAGGACCTGACAGTGTATGAACAGTATTTAAACGTAACCAGAGCGCTGAGTAACTCGGCAGTTTTTCCAGTTGGGCCTCATGAATAAACGTATAAGACACAATTGTGAGTAAGAACGTTATCACCAGTGTGATCTGGGTTAAGAGACAGGAGCCGGGATTCAGCACCAATCAGAGGTGATGAACCGCTGGCATGGTGCTGGAGGGATAAAGACTGCCAGCACTACTGTAATGGTCTCATAGGGATTATTATGGAGAGCCCTCCTGAGTTGAGCAATGCTGGATGTTCCTGACGTTCTGACACCGGCAGTGACGGATTAAATCTTACCTGCGACTGGTAGTGAGTCATCTGCTGGACCAGCGGCTGACTGGTGAACTGCTGCGGGCTGCAGGTGAAGTACTGGGCAGAATAGGCGGGGCTCTGTGCTACAATAGGTGGTCCGGCTGCCGTCACTGGGTGCATCATGGTGGGCGTGCCCTGCGGGTGGTGCTGGTCTGACCTCTGCTGGGGCATGTTGGGTACTGGAGAGTTCACGTTAAGAGATTACATTAAAATCCTGGAAACCTAAAACTAAACAGAATCACTGAGGAGTGAAAAAAACTATGACTTGTTTTAAAAGAAGCAAATTATTAGTGAATTGAGCTGAATATAAAAGATTAGACTATTTCTGATAGGAGACTAATTTCTGGAGCCTTT